TAGCGTCGGAGTGTACCAGTCCGGTCAAGCCAGCCAGTATCTCGCAGCCCAGCACATCATCCGCCCCCGCCCCCTTCCCACGGCCGCCGTCTGCCATCCACCCACCCACCCACCCACGTATCCGCTACATGCGCCCATGGTGCTAAGGCACGACTAAACAAAGCGACAAAGCCTCAACATTCTGACCGATACCTGCTCACTTGACTTGAAGAGTAGCGAAGCGGTCTATGCTATTGACAAGTTCATCTCTCCATCTCCCATCTCCCATCACGCGAAACTTGCATCTCTTTCGACGCGACAATACCGTCTTGCCTCTTATCAGCATCATCACCCTCACCTGCCTTGCTTATCACCAGTGGGGGTCCATCTGAAAGCGCGGGGTCCCGCCAGTTTTCTCCATCTCACCGCGCGTTCCTCGACACGGCAGCCTCCGAGTTCGAATCTCCGGCGTTCTATCGTCTCGTTCGGCTTCACATCACCAAACTGGACTCTCCGGCATCATGCACCCAACGCAGCGCGAGGAACGCGCCAGTGTGAACTGGCACAGCGCCTCGCACGGCGCCTTGTCGTCTGCTGGACCGCAACGGAGAAATGACGGTCAGTCTTGTCGCCACTGCATGGCCTCCGCCATGGTGCTGACGTTGCCAGAATCCTGGGTCGAGATCTCCTCCCAGCCCTCCTCTTCCTCCCTTTCCTCCATCGGTGACGAGATCGTGACGACCGGCTTGAGGGTTGGAAACCCACCCGCTGCCCGCCGCCGTCGGGTCCAACCTCCTGGGCCACGATCCTACCACGTCGACCAGGCTGCTATCCAGGGAGGCACCAGCAGCCAGGAAGAATACGAGGAGACGGAGAGTGAAGAGGACAGGCTCTTGTCGAGCTCCAACGAGAACGTTCAACAGCCCATCCGTCAGTCTTTCCAGAGACCGGCCCAGTCGGCGTCGGAGGACTCCGATGACGACTACGATAATGCCACCGCACTGGGCAGAGTCTCCGACGATCCAGTCTTTCGTCCACACCCCAACGCCTTTTCTCACCCACCAGGGCTGGGCAGCCGCCGCCACTCGACAAACACATCCATGCCGTCGCACCCTCACAGCCGGGTACGCCCTGCGCTGAGCCAGCGCTCGCAGACACGCGTCTCGCGCGGCCCCGGCCACTTCATGTCCCCGTCCTACCAAGCCGACCACGACGAAGCTCTCCGCACGTCGCTGACGACCCTGCTCTCCTGCGCCGCCGCCGCCCGCGGCCTGCCTAAGTACAAGGACGCCGAGCAGCAAGGGGCCCCTCCCACCCTCGCCGGCGTCGGCCCCAGCACCCGGCCCGTCGAGCTCCGCCTCATGCCCGAAGCCGAGCTCATGGCACCCACCCCCGTCCCCGAGCCCATCCCACGCGCCAAATCCCCAGCCCGCTCCCGCGCAGCGACGACCACGTCGCCCTTCGCCCGGGACGCGCGAAAAAGCACAAGCGCCGGCCCCTCGTCCCAGA